CGCAAAAGGGTTAATAAAAGGTTTATTTACAAGAGAAAAAGAAATAAGGAAAATGTACAACTCAGGGAGAAAATAGGGAAATAAAGTCTTTAATGCGTCCTACCCGATCCGACGACCTGGAAACCCAAAGTCACTCTCAGAGCTAGACAGACGCCGCGAGCTGGCCGAGGGCCCCAAAATGGAGAGAGCCCCAAAGCCCACATGTCTGCCTTTTGTATCCACCTGGCTGCTTAACCCCACCCTCAGGTCCCAGCCACCTTCCCTTGGGTGGTGATGGGATGTAGAGTTCCCAGTGTCTTTGGCTTTGGCCTGGGGTAGGGGTGGAGTCCACAAAGCCTGTATGGGGCAGCCTTTTCCCCCTAACACTGGGGTGGGGGTGGAGTCCACAAAGCCTGTATGGAATTAGCTTTGGGACAGCCTTTTTCCCCTAACAGTTACACCTGAGAAAAGAGAGGAAATCTTGTCCCCCTCGGGGGAGAGAGGAATTAATCAATGTGGGTGGCGAGGTCGGGTGAGGGCCTGTGGTGACTGGGTGAAGCAGCCAGCAGAAAGGTCATGTGAGTCCCTGCTCATCCTCAGCCAGCTTGCCCTGAATCCAAATCTTTAATCTTTATTTAACAAATCAGTACTCCCAGAAGGGCTGCCTTTTACACTGTAGCCCCTTGACACCTCTCCCAGGTGTCCTGGAAGGGCACTTCCTACCAAGGGGTAAGGAGAGAGGCCTGGCCCCCGCAATCAACGAGAAAAGGTTGTCAGGGTTCATTAAATCCCTAACAGAGTCTAGAAACCCAGAGACCAGTTTTCTTAACACGTCCATTTCACTAAGCTCTTTCCTCTCGCAAGCTTATGGCAGCGCCCAGCTACCTTCACCGCCAGGTGCAGCCTCCTCCACCTGGAATCGCATGTCCACATCCCCCAGCTCCCACATCCTTCATTCAGACAGGCCTCTTCATTAATCCAAACTCCTCCTGACCCCAGGCCCTGCCCGCAGTCCTGGAAAACCTTCTATAGTTGCATATATTCTAAATCTCCACAAGGCCCTTCCCTTCCAGAAAGCCTTCTAGGCCTGATCTGCCCTCACTCATCTCCTCTCCCCAGGCCCAAGGGTCTATCTAATACCTCCAATTAAAGAGGAAACGCTGGTGTAAGACAGAACCATCGGGATACCATCCCAAGCTTACTACTGCTAAAGGATTTTTTTTTAAATACAGCCTTGACTAGTACCCAAATACAAAATGAATACATGTCAAAGAGTTTAACTCATTCATTACTGAGGGAAATTAGAAGTTACCTACCTGGGCAGCCACAGGGACAGCCTTCAGCCCCACCCCCCCAGGAAACTACAACTGACCTCAGCTGATGGAAATCATTCGCATCTCAAAGCCGAGAATCATTTGCATTACAATCAGTTTTCTACAACTTAGAAAATTATAAAATAGGAGAGGCACAACCCTCCTCCCCCTAGAAACTGGTGACCTTGCGCCAGGTAACACCTACTTTAATTTTAATTCACTTACTCCCGGTGATCTTTTCTGCCTCTTTTAAAGTGTTTCATCATCTTACCTGGGATTCCTTAGCCAGGTGTTCATTTCTAGAAAGTCGCTTAAATACAGGGGGCCTTAGTCTCTTCATCGGTAAGGTGGGTTGAAAGCGCAAAAAAAAAAAAAAAAAAAAAAGACACCCCAGGTTCTCAGCAGAAGTGCTCCAGAAAGAGCTGCTTCTGTTTGGACAGCTACTTCCCCGCCCTGGAGCTTCCTCCTCCCACTTCAGCCTCCTTTGCATTTAACATTAACAGAGCCGCTGCTTGAGGCTGTAGTAACAGCTGGACCCTTAGGAGGGTTCTGTTCCCTGCCCCACTACCCGCCCTCCCCCAGGTAGAAGCCAAGACCTCCTGCATTCCCTTTACCCCCCAACACCACAGAGATGCATAAGGGCCTCTTTAGCAAAAATCAGAGGAAATAGGAAATCTATGAAAATTGGTAGGATAGGTTCCCCCCCCCCACCTCCTTGTCTTTTCGGAGTGGAATGCTCCCTGCCCGTGCACTCTAGAGACCCTCACACTCGTAGTGTAATTCAAGGCTTCTGAAATCATCCTCCATAAGGGACATACTAGCAAGAGGTCACCTTCCCGAAAGATCTGTGAGGGTTTTTAGATGGCCAGTCTACCCAGAGAACAGACCATCCTGATGGACTTACCCCCACTCCCCCACCACACTTAGCATCAAAAGATCTCCCCCACGATAGAATTGAAAAGTGGGTCACCTTCTGAGTGGCAGGGTGTGACCCGCCACTCCAGAGCCTGGGAGATGGCCCCTCTAGGCAGCAGGCGCCTCCCTCCACTGCTCTGGGCCAAGCAGATACCCAGGAAAGGCTCGTCCCAAGGGGAAAAAAAAACTACAGAAGAAAGATTCAAAAATGTGTGAACATAGCTACCAAAATAAAAGAATAATCAATGACATGCACAAACGTACCCATGAGGATGTTCACTGCAGTGTTGTCTAGAACTGGGAAAGATCAGAAACCAACTACACACCCAGCAACAGAGAACTGGCAAGATAACACATAGTACAAGGGGCTGGGGCCCGGCGAAGCAGCCACAAAAGTGTAACGTGGCGGGGAGATGAGAGAGTGCAGGTTCACGCCATCAAAGGACTCTTAAAAAGTTGTGCAGCTAAAGAGAAAGAAAAAGCCTCGATAGTAACCATGACCAGTTTTTAACAATGACCTGTTTTTACCTTCGTCCTTTCTCTTGGTGTTTCCCAAAAGTGCCCTGCATCAACACGTATTTGTGGATGCAGAGAAAGAAAGGCAGTCGTAATCCAACTCCCTGAAACTAGACCTGATGCATACCACCCCCTGACAGAAATGGAAACCAGTTTGGGGTTCCAATTGGAGAAACAAGGCAGATTTGCCAGACCAGTGATGCTCCAATGAAGGGTGGAGGGGAATGAACTCTTTAGGGCTGCAGCCTTCCACAAGGACTCCAAGTCAGCCATCTCACATAGCATCTCCACCACAAAACACATACACAACACTTGCTGAAAGAGACAGTTCACCACTCAACGACTAGAATATCCATCCTGCAAGAATCAGCAATATCTGCTAAGGGAGGTCAAGGTCACCTTTAGCAGAGTTGTACAGTGGACATAGCCCTGGCCTGTGATGCCCTCATCCTGGTCTGTCCCCTCCTTTCTCTAGTCCTTTATTAATTCATCCATAAAATCAAGATATGGGGTTGGACATGATAAAGGTGAGGTACCCTTTCTCAGGACTCTGAGAGATATGTCCCCTTATTCTGGTCCCCTCCCCCTTGGTCATAAACCCAGATGGAGCTAGAATCTGCCAGCCTGGGTTGCAGCCCTTCCCATAGTCTGGGGACCATGAGTGAGGCAGAACAGGAGGCAGAGTCAGAATGAACAGCCCACAAAGGAGGTTGGGAGCTATCTTCACCCACTGAGAACCACTATGCGGCACCCTCTGCCTCCACCCAGGGAAGGCCAAGATGTGCCGAATGGTAGACCTGGGGTGGAGTAAGGTTTTCTCCACGAGAGCCTGCTCTGCACCCTCCTGGCCATCCCAGTGGCTACCTCCCTTCTCTTCCACAATGTCCCCCTGGCTCTGCTTCCGCAGGTTTATCATCATCAACACTTGTGGCTCTTTGAGGTCCAGTTTTATTTTGACCACCACTTTCCATCCCTCACCAACCAAGTTGGAGTGAGGAGAGAATTATCAAGTGTTGCATCAAATTTTAGGGCGCATGCTTTGTGCAGACCCCCCAAGGTTATCCTTGGGGTTCCCAACCACTAGTCAGGGAAGATTCAACAAATGATTTCACAAAGAACTGGAGGGCACAACCATCACAACCAACCACCTGGGCCAGGCTGTCGAAGGGCCCAAAATAAGGTGAGGATAGAACAGGTCCTGGAAGTCAGGAGAACTCTGAGCCGGTCATCCCACTGGGGCCTTCGGGCATCTGCCAGGGCCAAGCTCTCCCTCGGAGGTTTAGGAAGAAGGGCATCCACAGGACGCAGCACGGAACTGTTACAGGGCAGGGAGAGGGGCACCCCAGGGGGTAGGAATCCTGGAACCCCCCCTTTCCTGGGGACCACCCTGTTGCAGAACAAGGGGTGAAGGATATAGGCGAGCGGGTTGCTCAGTAGAGAAAGGCTTCAGCTGGGCCGACCTGCAACCCACTAGCCCCAGAACTCACCTGCGGGCCAGTGGGAGCAGGAGGCCCTGCCAGCCCCACCTGCCCTCCCAGGGGCCGCCACGGGCTCCCCTGTCCAAAGGGCAGCCTTGCCCCTGCCCAAGCTGTCTGGCGGCCCGCCCGGCACATCTGGCTCGCCTGCCCCTCTCTGCACGTGCCTGGCGCCTACCCCTCCGCTCCCTCCTGCCTGCGTGTCATTTCCTACACGTCTGTCCGTCCGTCCGTCCGTCCGTCCGCCCTCCTCGCGTCTGCCGGCACCCTGGCCTCGCCGCATCCCTCGGCCTCCTCGCGGCGCGTGCCCCGCCTGCCGCCGTGTGGGTGTCGGGCTGGCTGTGCGCAGAGGGGCGCGGCTCGGCCCTCCCCGCCCCCCAGCCCGCGCCCCCCCGTCGCAGGAGTGACCCCGGCGGGGCCCAGAGCTGCCGGAGCCGGGAGCCGCGCGGCGCCGCCGAGCCCCCGAGCCCCCGAGCCCCCGAGCCCCCGAGCCCCCGCCGGCGCGGCCGAGCCCGGGGAGCGGCGTGGGCGGCGGCCGGGCGCGGCTGCGGCAGGGCAGGGTCGCGCGGGCGCGGGCAGCGCCGCCTCGGCCCCGGGGCGCGGGCTCCGGGTCGGCCCAGCCTGGCCCCGCCCCGCCGCGCCCCGCCCCTGCGCGCCGAGCCGGCCGAGGCGGAGGGGCGCGCCCCCCGCGACGCCGAGCCCAGCCGGAGCGCAGAGGCATCCGAGCGGGAATCGCAGCCGGAGCCGGAGCCAGAGCGGGAAACCGAGCTGGCGGCGAAGCTGGAGCCCGCGGTGCGGCGCGCGGAGTGGAGCGAGGCAGCCAAGCCGAGTAAGGGGCTTGGGCCGGGGGCGGCGCGGGGGAGGCGCGCGGGGGTCCCAGCCCCCTTCCCGGGCGCGCTCACCCCGGGGCTCGGGGCGCCGAGCCCCTGCGCGCCGGGAGGAAGGACGCGCGGTCCGGAGCGGAGCCGCAGCGCGCTCGGAGCCCGCTGCCCCGACCCGGGCGACCCCCGCCCCGCGCCCCGGGGCGCCTCGCGGCTGCCCGAGGGGGCCGGGGCCGCCCCAGAGCACGGCCTCGGGCCGCGGGGAAGGGGTGGGGGGGTCTCCTGGGCGCTCGCCGGACTCGAGTCCCAGACGAGCATCCACTCCGTGGGGAGGGAGTTGGGGGCGGGGGCGGCGAGACGGTCTCCCCAGCTCCCTGCCTTCGACTTCGGGGACCCCCGAAGCACCCACCCAGGGGGAAACCAGGGCGCACTCTCGGCGGGGGCGCGGGAGGAACGAGGCTCCAGGCTTTGCGGAGTTTGGGCTCGACCCCACCCCCCACCCGGGAGCCTGGAAGTTTGACCCTCCCCCGGGGGGGTCGCCCGGGCCGTGCCCCCGCTCCGGCGCCCCCCGCGCGGGCGGCTCTCGGCGGCGGGGGCGAGAGGGGGCGTCCGCGCCGCACCTGCTCCCCCTCCGGGGCCGACTTTCGCTTGCGCGGTAACTGAGTTCGAGGCTGAGTCCGAGGCGGCCACTCGGCTGGCTGCGCAGCGCGGCGGAGCGGCTCTGCCGCCTCTCCCCGGGCGACCTCGGGCGCGGGGTAGTGCCCACCCCACCCCCGGCTGCCTCTCGCCGCCCTTTCTCCCCCGCCACGGGCCCCGCTGTCTGGAGGCTGGCACCGACTGCCCTCCTCGGCCCCGCACAGTGGCCGCGGGGGTGGCCGGGCCCGGGCGGAGACCCGGAGGGCACAGGTGGAAGGTGTTGGCGGCCGAGGCTGGGAGCGCGCACCTTGGTCTCGATGCGCACCCAGGCCCGGGGGCACCTGCCTCCAGGATGCCCCTGCCCCACTGTCCTAAAACATCCTCTCCCCAAAGAAGGGCTTCGCCCGGTGCCTCGATTTCCTGGGTGGATAAACAGGCAGGATTCTGTTGTGAGCTGAATGTCTAATGGCTCTGGGAGCAGAGGGTGCCTTGGCTGACTCCCCAGCCGTGTGACCTTAGGTAAGACACTTCACCTCTCCGGAGCCTTATTTTTCCCACCTGAAACCCAGGGAAGGTGAGTTAAGAGGACTGTGAGTGGCTGCTTGTAGGTGGCTTAGTGTGCTGCTTGGCTCACAACACTCACTCAGGTTGGTTACAGGTGTCATTTCGTGAAGTGTGCGGGGCCAGCAGCTGCGGAGGGAGAGCGCTGTCCATAGGTGGTGGGGACGCGACGCCTCCCCCCCAGCCCTGTCCTTACCAAAGAGGCCTTGGAAACCCCCAAGGTCTTGCTGACGTCAGATTGCAATGCCAGTCTCTGGGGCCTGCCCTTTCTCAGGTGAGCCCCCTACCCAGCTCTCCCCTCCCTGCCAGGCATCTTCATCTAGGTTGGAAAACACCATCTGACTGGTTTTCCCTCTGCCCTTGGCTGACGCTGCTGCCCCAAAGCAGGCGGCCCCCTCCCCCCAGCTTGCTCATCCTCTGCATTCCTCTCTCTACTCCAAGGTTTGGGACCTGAGGATTGTTTTTCCTTAAGAGCATCTGGTTGTCTGGTGGCTTCGATGTTCTGCTGCTGGCTGTCGACACAGGCAGTGGAGACAGCAGCTACTAGGCCTGGGAGGTCTGTGGGGTCCCGGCCTTCATTCTGTGCTGACTGTGGGGTGTTTGTCCAGGTGACTGGGCCCTGACGCAGCAGAAGTGAGGACCCTAGGGGAGGAAAATGGAGCCAGTGACTGAGTGACAGGTTAGAGCTTCTGAGCAGGAAGGTTACCAGGAAGAGAGCGCCCCAGTCTGGGCAACTGGGGGCTCAGACCCAGAGCAGAGCAGGTGAGACCCTGGGCCTGGGGGGCAGGGGGGGGCGGGTAGGGTGCTGGGATCCTTGGGGGGGCACAGAGGGTACCAGTGCCCAGGAAACAAAATTCAGCTTGTGGACACTCGTGCTAGTTCTGGCCACCTGTGGCCCAGCTGCCTGAAACAGGGGGCCAGGGAGGGGTGAGTCTGTCTTCCTGTTACCTGGCGAGACAGACAGAATAGGTTGACCCCCTCGGGGCGTCTTTACACAGAGACCCTCTCCTCTTCCTTGGTAGCCTACCCGCGCCCCTCCCCCACTCACCCACTAGGGTGTCACATCCCTGCGTCTTCCACAGTCCTCACTACCCCTCTTCCCAAAGTCGTTAATCAGGAATAAATTTAGAGGTTTGTGACTACTGATTCACACAGCCTCTGGAACGCAGCCGACAGGGAATGTCGGGAATAATCGATTAGTCACACTGAGCCACCCAGGACCCAAAGCCTTGGCCCCAGAAGTGCCAGGGCACAAAGAAAGGGGCCGGAAGGTGGAAATTTGCTCCCAGCCTCCTCCGGGAGAAAGGGAGACCCTGGGGCGACAGGACCCCCTTAGCGAGCGAGCACAAAATAGACTTGTGCCTGCGAGCACAGCTTCGGGGGCAGACGACCTGCCTCTGTGCATGTGATTCTGGGCAGATTCACCTTTCAGAACTCCGATTGCCTTTTGCAAAGAGAAGCAGGTATTACACACCTCCCAGTCCAGCCACGCAGGAACCACAGCCATGCCATGGGGCTCCGGCGACCGCGCTGAGTGTCTGTATTGTGAACACGCGTGAAGAGTTTTCTGAGCGTAAGCCTTTCCCCTTTGAATGCTAACAGCAGCCCTTCGGTTTAGATGCCGCAATTGTCCCCATTTTATAGATGTGAACACTGAGGCTTAGAAAGGTGAAGGGCTCACTTTGCTTGACCTAAAGTACCTAAAACCTCACCATGACTCATCATAATTTTATCAGCTTGTAAAATTGACAGCACCGTGTATCTTAGAGGGTGTGTAACTAGTTACTGCAGTGATTCCTCCACGGATATCGTCAGTCATCTTGTGTCTATATGTTCACTGACCACCAGCTAGAGAATTTTTTAAATTCTATACAGACAGATACCTGTATGCTTTTCTAGCCAAAGAGTAATCAAACTAATGTAAAAGACCAATTCCCACCCCCACCGATCCCCCATCCCTCTCCTTTCCATTTTTTTCCATAGCACTCAACACCCCAGAAGTGGATATACCTTATCCATTCCTTCCATGTTTGCCCTCATCAATGAAACAAACTCTAGAAAGGCAGGTACTTTTCACCATTTTGCTCACTACGATATCCCCAACACCTAGAACAGTACCCAGCACTTAAAGAGTACCCAGCACTTAACATGCTTTGCAAATAACAAAATGTTTTATAGACATAAGGGCTATTGTTAGGACTTTCGCCAAGTAGATATCTTACCTGGAAATATGTGCTGCTTAACAACAGGGATAGGTTCTGAGAACGCGTCTTTAGGCGATGCTGTTGTGTGAACATCACAGGGTGTAATTACACAACCGAGATGGTACAGGCTGAGACAGGCTGTCCACCCAGGCTATGAGAAGTAGCCTAGCACGAGACCCGGCTGTGGAATAGCCTATTGGCACCAGCTTCCTATAGGCAGCCCCCCAGTAGCCTAAACCAGGGTAAGCTACTCATAACTAAAACATTAAGGGTCGTGAGAGAAACCATTCCCTCAAATGGGATGAAGGTTAGAAACAATGGAGATTATTTCCCTAACATTTTAATAAAGCTCCTTATCAGTAAGTTCAAAGACAAGTTAATTTTTTTTTTTAAATTGCAATAACAAATGACAGGTTCAAAGGCAATTAAATTAGCCTTAAAAACATTCAGTGAGTTAGCTCTCACTGACTTATTTAGTCAATTACTTTTCCATTTAGTTAGCACAAAGGATTTTTTCAATCTTCATTTTCATGATTTTTTAGATTGTAAAACTAATCCATGTTCATTGTGGAAAATTTGGGAAATCATAAAAAATATAAGTAACATAAAAATACTCATTAATCCCACCAGTGCCCAGAGAGCAGAATGGATGAATATTTTAGTCTACTTCCTCTCTAATCTTTTTCTATGTATGAATATTTGCATAGGGTTTTTTTTTAATAAATTAAAGATCATAACTGGGTGTAGAATTACATACTGAATATATATCCATATAGAGAGAGAGAGTTTAGCTCTTAAATCCATGTTATGAAAATGTCTTTAAAATCCAGATTTCGTGGCTGTACAGTATTCTACTGTAAGTGTACGCCTTAGTTCGCTCCATCTGTCCTCTCTTACTGGGCATTGGGGTTTCATTGCCATGAATGATGCTCATCTGTGTCCTCTTTGGAACATTCTGAGTCTTGAGTTGGGCTTCTCTTACACATTTGGTCACTTGGCCATTGTGTAGATGGACCAGCTTATGCAGCTAGACAGGAAATCAAGCTGGAGAGGCTGAGCCATGGCAGGAGTGAGCAAGGAGGTGGCCGTTGATGCTGTTATAGGGGCTACTCCGGGTAAATGAACATGGAGACCCAGTGACCACCAGCCACATTCTGGCAAACCCGGTGAAGTCACACAGAGCCGCAGAGGCGGCCATACACCTGAGTCCCTTTTCTATTATCAGGACCAGGTTACCTGTTTGCAAACCTCAGTGCCACTGTTCTCAGACTTTTCATTCTCTCCTGAGTTCATTCATTCAATCATTCATTCCATCAGATGATGAAGATTAAGTGACATATCAACACTTGCCAGGGAATGTTCTTCTCCAGCTGGGGAAGTCAACAGTGTCCCAACCTGACATAAAGACCTTCCTGTGCAGGAGAAAGATTTTCTGGGGGCCCCTACCTGCAGCCCCAGGAATTAGTCACTGCCTTGTAAGGCAGATACAACCTTTTCAAGATGAGAGCATCCAGCCAAAGTCCAAAATTTCCCACCTCCTTCTGGCCCTGGGCAGACACATACACACCCACATAGAACCCTGAGAGGTGACCTCATCAGCAGGACATAGTCAGTGGGCATTGACTGTGAGAGGCGCATCGGGTTATCTGAGCTGTCTACACCTCCCCCACCGTCGGGAGGGGCCCCAGCTCCCTACTATCCCCAAGTCACCCAAGCAAACACAGGGAATCATCCTCCACCCCCCCTCGCCCTCCACTTCTGATCTGATCCATCTGTCCCACTTCTTAAACGTTCCCTACACAGCCCACTGCGTGCCTTCAACCCCCCCATGACGGGCCTCCCCAGAATCTTTGCTCTGGAACCCTCTCTTCGCAGCCACACACCCAGCTACCCCCCTCCTGATCATACATGGCCTCCGCACTGCAGCCTCTGTATCTATGTGTACAGTCTCCACCCACCTGCCCCCTCTGCGCCATCCCTTGCTGCTACCCCACAAATCCCGCTACTACCCTTGTGTCTCACGTCGGGCAGGTAATCTCCACGGAGACGGGCACCGCCAATGTTTGCTTCACCCCGCTATCCCCCCCCCAAAACCCGGCACACGGGGCCTTTGAGGACATAACTCGTGGAACCAGTGAATGCTGGTCCCATCACCTTCCTTGACACCCCGCCACCTGCCACCTGCGGACCCCCACCTCTGGCCCGCCCTGTGCATCGAGTCCAGGGAACCCTTTGCAAGAGGCTAGAGCGGCCCACGGTGCCGTCCTGCTTAAACACTCCAAAGGGTACGCTTGGGGGGGCGCAGGAGCAAGCGCCCCCGGACCCCCCCCTCGTACCTCGATGTTGTCATCTGTAAAATGGGGGTTGGTTATGAAATTCGGCGGGCTGACGTCACGTGACTGCGGTCCAGCGGACGCCGTAAACAACACGGCATCACGTGGCCGCCCGCGCCGCCCCCCGCTCCGGCGGCCCCTCCTCTGCTGGCCACCGCGGCGGGACGCTCCGGGCGCTTGGCAACGCGCATGAGCGCTGCGCTCCTGCCAGGCTGGCTGGCGTGAGGCTGCGCCGGGCTCGCCCCGCCGGAGTCACACGCTCCGGCGCGGGTCTGGGCGTCGCGGGGCCCCGGAGTCCAGGTAACCCCGGTGCAGGCTGCTGCGCCACGCTTGGCCGCCGCAGAGCCGGCGCGCGCCATCCGCCCACCCAGACAGTCTAGTGGACGGTGAGTCACCGGCAGGAGCGCTCCTCGGACGTGGGCAGGTGACGTGACCTCGCGGCACAGGACCCTCCCCCACTGCAGTCCCTCTCGAGCAAATCACTGATCCATACCGCAGGGGATCGTCACTGCGGCGCTGGTCATGTGTGAGATCGGGGTGGGTACTTGGCTCCCTCGGCCGCCGGAGACCACGTAGCTCGATCGCTGCGCTCCTTACATGGGCATCCTCCTCCCCAGGAAGCCGGGCTCGGCTGACAGGCAGGCGCTACACCCAAGTCGTGCGTCAGCTTCGGGGCCTGGTGGTTCCACGTAATTTGGAATATCCGCTCAGGGTCCAGCCCTGCGCGCGATGGCGATGCCAGGAGCCACCCCGGCCCTTCATGCCCTCCGGGAGGGCTCATGGAAAGCAAATTAGGGTGGGGCTCTGGTCCCGCAGCCCAGAGGTGCAGCCACCGCAGGCACATACATGCACACGCAGACCCCAGCGCACACGCAGGTAAACACGTGTATTTTTAGAAAGCATCGATCCCAGGCACCGAGGTTCTTCGGGAATTTTCTGGTGTGAGATCACAGTTCCCCAAGCAGCCTGGCACACCAGAGGCGTGTCTGCCCGTGATCCCTGCCCTCACCTCCCCCCACTGAATTCTCAAGTTGTTTTCTGGGGGGACTGAGAGTGGGTGTCAGGCCAGCGCTGTGTTCACACTGAGCTGGGGTGGGGGAGGCACCTGAGTGAAGATTCCAGGGTCGAGGCTGCACCACTCCCTCCCTTCCACCTCACACAGCTGAGTGAACCTGTATGTGGCCATGTTTTCTGCACGAGGCCCTTGCTGTACATTCGCTCAGCTCACAGCAGGTAAGGGGCGCTCACAGCAGGTAAGGGGCGCTCACAGCAGGTAAGGGGCGCTCACAGCCTTTCCTCTGATGCGCTACAGCTCAGAGAGGTGAAGCGCTTTGCCCCAAGGCACACAGCCAGAAAGTGGGGGTGGTGATAGCAGCCCTCAGGGATTAGACTTCTGGGCTCAAGTTCGCCAAAGGTAGGTCTTTGATTCATTCATTAACCAATTCAGTATAGTTTACCCCCAGGACCCCATCAGAAAGTGGGATCTCTTTGTTGAAAAATGCACACATAAGAAGAGGGCTCTCTGGAGGAGATGAGGGTGGGATGCGCTGGACCTGCCTCTTACAGAATAGTTCAGTGTACCTGATGTCCACCTCGCGACCAGAGAAGCCGCTGCCTCCTGGGGCCTGGAAGGGCTTTCCCTGGCAAGAGCCGGCTGGGTTCTGCATTCCTGGGCACTGCCCAGCAACCCCCAAAGGTGCAGTTTGATTTCATCAAGTCTAGTGGCCACACTCCCTTGAAAGGAAGACACGTATCTCCCTGATGCACCCATGACGTCATGCCACTTGGGGACACACCAGTTGAGGAAGGACCAGTTCTGCTCTGTAGCAGGGGGAAGGGGTTACTTTTTGAAGCTGTTTCCTCCACTGCAGACAGGAGTGCTTCCTGGCTGCACGACCATCCAGGTGTCACACCAAGGAAGCTCACGGGGTGCCAGGATTATTGGGCAGAGACTCCTTCATTCTCTAGGCCTTTATCCTGAATCAGAAATTTACTATATCAGGTGTCTTCTGATTTAACCAGGGCTGGACACTGAGAGGATATTCCAAATCAAGCGCTGGCTAACACTAAGCTTTGGAGTCAGACAGACCTGGGTTCTGCTCCCAGCCTAGGAGAAGCTGTGTGACATGACACGAGCTACCTGACCGCTCTTAGCCTCAACTTCCTTATTTCTATAAACCAAGAATGAAAAGAGCATCTTCCCCTTAAAGTTTGGGGGATAATAATAATCTGGTTTGAGCAAGGCATCTGTGACCACGCTTCCAGGGCCAGCGGTGGGATCTGACCTGCTCCTCAGCCTGCAGCTCAGTTTTCCCTTCTGTGAAATGAGGATATTTGGCTCATCTTTAAGGGACCTTCCAGCCAGCCAGTGATAAGACACAGCGGTTCCCTGTGGTTGTCCACTCAAGAGTCCATCCAGGGAGATAGCCCCCCCTCCACCCACTATGGGGACCCCAAGCCAGCATCTGCTCCAGCACCTCCATGCTCTGCAGCCCAGTGCTCCCCAGGCCAGAGTGGTCACACACTCTCAAAGCCCCTGTCCTCTCCCCAGAGGTTGACAGCCCAGGGGATGTGAGTGCCCAACCTGCAGAGTCGGTGGGCACCAGGTGGGCACCCCCATCACCGGCCTGTTTGTGTCTCTGCAGGTGAGTGGAGGGTCCGACCCTCTGAGAAGTCAGAACTGTGCACGTGGCAGGCTGGCTCCCCTCTTCTGCGACAAGGATTACATGTCTTTCAAACGCCCCTGCCCTTGTAAGTCTCCCCGCTTCCTTCCGTGGCTCGGGGCCAGGTGAGGGCCGAGCTCAGAGTGGGCATGCGGAGAACGGCTCTAAGTATCTGGCCAGATTGCTCAGGGGGCTGACCAGGGGCTGCTGTGACGTGACGTGCGGGGAGCGAGGGGCGGCCGCAGGCAGAGCCCGGGCATCTATGAGGAGATGCTGTCTCTACTTCTGCCAACCCCACTCTAGCAGCGCTTCCCGAGGGGGCGGGTTGCTCAGAGGGTACTAGTGGGATGACTTGGGTTTTTTTTAAAGAGTCCATGGCCAAGTGAGCATGGGAAATGCTGGGGCAGACACGTTAGGGTCAGGATTTCTCAACCTTTCACGTGGTTGTGCTGGGAGGCTCCCACAGGGAAGAGGAGGCCCACCCTGCTCCCCCGTGGCATGGCGCGCCACAGTGTGTGCTCCTTGGAGGCCACGGCCCTCAGGAAGCCCATCCCGAACACCTCGAAGGCCTTCATTTACTGAGGCCATTCGATGAGCTTGTTCATGCTGTTCTTCCTGGGCCCTGGAATCCCACAAGTCCCGGCAGTAGATTCAGGTGCACCCCTGGGGCTCAAAGCTGCAACCTCCCTTGGCTCACTCTTCACCGGCTTACCCCATGGCCCTTCAGTCTTCCCAGGGTAGCCACCTGCTTGCCTATGAGGTCTCCGAGAGCCCCAAAACCACTGTCACTTGCTGAAATTTAGGGGACATGGTAACCACACTATCCCTTCTTGTTCAGTCAGGACTGGGAGTCTGTGTGAAATCAGGGACCCCGCCTAGTGCCCCCTTATCTACCTGTCGTCTCCCCTCTCCCATGATCACTCTGGATAATGCCTCACCCCACTCAGTAATGTCAATCCATTTTGTGCAGTTGGTTAAATGTCATACATCTCGGGGTACCGGGCAACTCCTCCAAATAGTCAAAACTCCAGCAGTTAAATCTTTGACCATCCAGGGGCTGAGGCGGTGTGTGTGTGGGGGGATGTCTGGGGTCTCACCACCAGGCATGCCTGGGGAATAGATGGCACTGGCGTTCATTGTTCAAAAAGTGCTATTTGTGTGTATGTGGGGGTTGGGGGTGCGGGCGGTGGCCTCTGGCTACCATGGGTAATGAGGTGGGGTATAGGTGAAGGGCTAAGACCAGTTCTGATGACAGTAAACCCAGCTCAGCACCTCACTGCTCCCTACATCACTACTGCTGCTGCTGTGACCTAATCAGGACATCAAGGCCCACATCCCTCCCAGGCCTGGTGAGAAGGTGCCCAGCGACCACTGCCCCTCAGGGCTGGGGTGGTCACATCCTTGCCCCATGAGCAGCTGGGAAAGGGCAAGTGTGGGACTGACTGCTGAATGTGGAGGGCTTTCCAGAACCTTCTGGGGTCAAATCAGACCCATCAGAGCCCTGCCCATCTGCACGAACAGAGGCCAAGACTGCAGGTGGCTATGCCGCCAGCCCTCTGGGTCACCACCTCCTGGGGACCCCAGGATGCAGAAATAGCCCCTGCGCATCACACCCCCACACCCCCACCCCATACACAGCGCCAATGCCTGGCATGTCAGCACATCTAGGTCCCTCGTAAAGACAGTCCCAGGACTTCATCCCCTCCCCCAAGTCTAGAGCAGAGAGGAGGAAGGAAAGGGAAGAACTTCAGCCGGGGAAGCCCAGAAGGGTCTGGCCACGCGGCTGTGAGAGGCACGTCAGGTCTTCTGCCTGCAAGTGCCAGGCCTGTGAGCCATTTTCCAGCCTTAAGCACTGAGTGAGGAGACCCAGCCTGACTTGAGGAAGGTGGAGGCGTGGGAGCCTTCTCCATCTGGCCCCAGCTGGCAGGGAGGCCCAGGCCTCCCCCAGGACCCAGGCTCCAAGAACAGATGTTTCAGAATCTCTCCTTTGCCACTGGAGGATGCAGCTCTCCGGGCCCAGGGGCAAATGGGAGGAGGGCTTCGAGGCCCCAGGGGAGACTGAGTCTGTGGCAAAGGAAGGCAGGCAGAGAGCAGCGTCAGCTGATCCACGGAGCTGGTCTGCCAAGCTCACAGGCTACCCACCCATTGGCAGGAATCACAGCCTGGAAGAGTCCCTCAGAGTTGGTGTGATGCGGGAGACAGTGCTTGGGTCAAGTATGACCTGACACTGACACTTAATCAGCCATATTGTCCGGACCCAGCTACTTAGCACCTAGAAACCGCAGTCTGCTCACCGCTAACATAGGGGTGGTCATACCAAACGTTTGCTTTGCTGCTCAGATTTCAGATGCCACCAGAAGACCGTAGCTTGTGCTGGGCACTGAGGAGATGCTCCAGAAACTGGGAAATTGTGTCCTTTTCACCACCTTCTCTCTCCATAGTTCAGTATTACCCAAGCCTTTGGGGATCGAGCCAGGGAAATGAAGAGGGAGAGGGACTTCAGAGAGCCCTTTAGGGTCTGTCCCCAAGACTGCTGGGTTCTGCTCTGCTCACTGTAGCAGAGACTTGAAGAACCTGAGGGCAAAGAGGGTGAGTGATGGAACCTGCCACCGGTAGCCACTTCGGTGCCCAGAGCAGACATCACTAATTAACCGCCGCATTCTGCCCCACTGAGCCCGGATACGACCTCGACCCGGGTCTGTTCACCATCTCTGAACACAAGCAGATGACTGTTGCCCTTAAAATAAAACTTTTTCAAGTCTGTCCCTTGCTGGAGTAGACAAAGGAGAAGGGGTTGCTTTAGCTAGTCACTTCGAGCGAAGCCTCTGCTTCCTCATCTGTGAGGTGGAAATGGATCCGACCTGCCCCCGAGGGCTGATGTGAGAGCAAATGAGATGTCACAGGTAAAGGGCAGCAGAGCCGCTGTGACTGTTCCTTTATGTGACCTCCTTGCTCTCATGAAGCTTCCCTACAAGGGACAGGTCAGTGTCCATTTCATTTTGAGGAAACTGAGGCTCAAGGACATGAGGAAACCAGTCAAGGTGACAGGGAGTGTGGAGTCGGGGATATACTCCAGGGGAGCCCTCCCCGGCGCCATTTTAGCTAAACCACAGTTGGACAAAAGGACGAGTAGAGTCAAGTCCACACCTTTACCCCGACTCTGCACAGGATTTCACGGCCCCCTGGACACACTGGCTGCCTCTTAGAGTTCTCTGGTCTTACAGTAGTGAATGCTTGGCATCTGAGAGCTCATCTTCATTTTAAATACACAATCAGGGACCTCCCTGGTGGTCTAGGGGTTAAGTCTCGGCGCTCTCACCACTATGGCCTGAGTTCGATCCCCAGCCAGGGAGCTTCCCACATATGGCGCAGCAGACCTCTCCTGACTCGCCCGCTGCTCCCCTCAGCAGTGTATTTCAGTGGACCCGCCTGTTCTGCTCCCCACTCTGTCTCTGGTGAATCCTCTCACCCCCTGCACCTCTGGCCTACACCCCAGTTCTATGCAAAATTTTTAATGGTTAAATAAATAAATGCACAATCATTTCATATCAGAGTCCCTGGCAAGAGGTCAATCAACTTTGGTTTGAGCACTTAATGTAGTAATAATAGTGACTGTACCCCCGTTTTTGTAGAGGACTCCCAGTTGGCCACGTTTCTGCATCTAGCTGTCCCCTGGCAGTGAGCCCCTGGGGTGAGCTCATCTCTCCTCGTAGCACTGAGCAGCTCCCATACACTGACAGCCCCTCAAATTTACATTGCCAGTTCCAGACTCTCCCCTGAACTCCAGACTCATATATCCAACTGTCAGCCCCATATCACTGCTTGGATGTCTACAGAGTATCTCAGATGTGACGTGTCAGAATCTTCAATCTCGACGCCCAGTGTCCCACCCAACCTGCCCATCATTTTCCTGTCTCAGAAAGTGGCAGCCTGGTCCTTCCAACATGCCTGGATTCCAAACCCTGTTACTTGTCACTCCCCTCCCCGTCCACCCCAGTTCCAGTTAATTTGCAAGTCATAGTTTTATCTTCAAATCAGACCCCACCTTGCCACCTCTACCACCACCCTCTGGAGCAAGGCACCATCATCAACCACTGCCCTAGCCGAGTAAGGGGCTCCTCATATCCCCCCTCCACCTCCAGCCAGGGAGTAAGTGTGGGAAGGGGAAGGGAAGCGGCTGAGCCTTGGGTTGGTGGAGAACAAAATGATTTCTGTTTCTAGAAATCTTGCCAAGGAAAACATGACCCCACAGCTGTCACCCAGAGCTTCCCAAAGTCAAGTGCACGGTCAGGGGGACTGACCTACAAACGTGAACTGTAAGGACATGGCCATTTCTCTGCCAAGGGCTACGCTAGACTGGCTGCCCTGACACTCAGCCCCACCTGGGCCTGGACCCATGCCCAGAATGGTTGTCCTCTGTGACGCCACTGCAGAAGAGTGCAGGCCTGCGTGCTTCCCACACAGGGAGGGAGGCCCCAAGAGATGTCACCTGCCAAGTGACCCAGCAGAGGAGACAGGATTCAAAAACAGGGCTCCTGGGTACAAGCCACTGGCCTCCTGGTCCCTGTGGGAGCTTGAGTACATTTTCACCTCCCAGAAGTCCCTCTATTTGCTTCTCTGTATTTAAAGCACCACAACACCCATGACTACCCCACTTCTAAGGGCTGCCCCTTCTGGACCCCACCTGGAGTCATTGTGGGTGACCTCCAGGAAGCTTTCCTCTGCCCGTACCCCAGGCCCTTGGCCCTGCATGATACATGTCTCTCCCAGGAAAGAGAGTAAAGGCAATGATTATGGCGAATCCAGCCCACACAGCCAAAGCAGTAAGAGCTGAAAGACTCAGGTTCAGAAACCACTGAGCCTGTGTTTATTCATCTATAAACTGGGATGACACCCGTGTCCAGTGGGATGGTGAGAGCTGGGTGAGCTCACAGGTGTTCAGGTTTGTCCCCTCTCTTTGGCTGCGGGCAGCTTCACAGTGCTGTGCTTAACCCCTTGCGCCACCAGGAGGCCCCTCCTTGTGATTTTTGTTTGAATCTCTCTGATGACTACATATACGTTAGCCCCTAGAAGAGCATCTTTGTGCCA